AATCCCAACCTTATTTACAATCTAAGCATAATCCTCTAATACAACTACTACAACCATCTACACAATCATAATATTATTAAAAGCATCCATCAAATGGAATCAAATTATCATCTTTACAAGTAAACTCAAAAAGTTGAGATTTTAAAAATAACTGAAAATCTCTGATTCCAAAAAATATTTACCAAGTGGGTTCCTTTTATGTCCATTCTATTTTAATAGTTATTTTAGCTTAACTATTAATGTGAGGATATTAATGTATGCTAATTAATTTTATGGATCTATATCCAAAACCATAGGGATATTTTATCCAACCTCCTGTATATTAGTTTCTTAGTACTATTAAATCGTCAATAGCTATTTTAATTTCGGTTGGATTGGAATTATAGATTAATAATTTTATTTGTAAACTTATTGCTTAATGATGATTTAAATTGATTATGTTCACTAAATGATTTCCTTATGTCTGAAGATAACGAGATTCTAAGTAAATTAAATAAAATTACAGAGATAAGTAATGATAGTAGTTTAAATTGCATTATTTGTTAGCCAACATTCATTTGTTCTAAGTGAATTTTATAACATTCCATTCATTGAAATAAAATGAAGGTATTAATCAAAACATCCATATTCATTACATGATTAACAACCTTCAGGACATAACTTTGCTTCTAAAGTCATATCTGATATTCCCCAAAAAGCTCTTTATGCCATAAAAATAACTGTTATAGCAGGCATAATATTTGGAATTGTTATTGATATTGGAAATACTTCATCATTATATCCACAAATATTTGAATTACTTGTATTACCTCCAAAAATTAAATGATAATGTGATTTTATAATGAGGCTTTAACTAGAATGTTTTGAAAACTATGATATTATAATCTGCAACGGAGCATTAATTAATTGCCTAATTAATTTTTATACCACATTATTCAAGTTAAAATGAGCAACAACTACATTGATTATCCCATTAAAACTTATTTAAATCTATGCTACTTTAATTTGATCCACTTTCCAAAAATTGGCTTTAAAACCCATCTCTAGACTATTTTTATGTAAGAATCATCAATAACATTAGCGTAAATTTAATTGTATTGAACCCAGTGAAGAATAAATATATCATATTTAAATTATTAAAATATATTTATTGATTTTTGGATCTAAACTAAAATTTGAAAACCAAATATTATGCATATAAGATATAATTTTGCTCAAAATCATCAAACAATACTTGTTCTTACAAGAACTTTTAGAAAATTTGATTACATAATTTATTAATTAAAGTGATGTATTTCATTTTTAATAAAAATAAAATTTACTTTAATCATTCTTATATATGGCCATTATTAATAGAAAATCTGTTTATCATTTATTATTATAAAAATTTCTTTTGAATCATTTGTTCAAATGTCTTTCATATTTTTAATATAATTTCCAATCACTCATTTAAAAAAAAATTACAGCATTTACAAGAATGAATAGTTAATAGAAATTCATGAAAATCTTATTTATATATAATATTAGTCCATTTTATTTATATCACTCCATAATTATTCAAATTTAAACAGTTGACAAGAGATTTCAATAATCATTCAACGAGAGGATGGAATAATTTAAACAATATATAAAAGGAATGTTTTTATATAAAAATTACACTAAATTAAATTCTTTTAAAATACCTAACAAAAAGCAAGTGATAACATTAAGCCAGACATAAAATAGATAAATTATGCTTCATTCTTTTTTCATTATTTTTAAAGCAGCTCAAATTTAACTAAAATTTTATATTCAAAATAAGAAAATAACTATAAACAAGTGAGAGAGCATACGAATAATAATGGTTCAACTTATTAATCAAAAAAAGATTCAAGAATTTTTTTTAAAATTGTTTCATCTTAATCTTTGAGATTCATTTCTTAGATTATTATTGTATGAGATTTACTTCTAATTGCTATAGTTTGAAGGAAATTTAGACAAAGCATTTTGGTGATACTCAAATAGGAATTCCTTTTAATTTATTTAGAGATATTAACCTTTATTTTTTAAAATCTCTAATATTCATTGCCTACCTAAAATTTTAGTAAATTTTTTCATATTTTTGGAACTAAAAAATTTTATTTTTTCATATTGAATTTTACACCATGGTGTCAGTAATCCAAATAATTTTCTTAAATAATATTATTAAATTAAGTTTTGTTTAAAATCAAAATTTTAATATTTTTTATGTCCCGACTTTCTAAAAAATGTTTAATATATTTATTTATTTGATTTAATCTTGGCTTCTTAAAATAGTTTAATTATTTTTAGAATCTTTTTATTAAAAATTTTAATACAAACTCTTCTTTGAGAATTTGAATTCTTTAATTTAAATAAATCAGATTATTTCTCATTTTAGTTATAAACGAAGAAAAAAATTTTATTCTTTAGTTATGTTGTTGCAATTTAATTTAATAGATTTCTAATAGTTGGATGATAAGATTAAAATAGTGTTCCAAGAAAAAGAATAGTTGTTTATATATTAATATCATAAATCTTACTTTTCTATAGATTAATAGATGATTAGAATGTTATCTTTCCATATTAAAGCACTTGATTATTATTATATATAAATAAACTTAAAATCATTAAAACCATATGATTTGAGTCTTTATAAAAGTCATAATTTAAATTCCCTTTCATATTAAGTTTTATGAAAGTAATATTTATTTAAAGGCAAAAGCTCAAAAATAATCTGGTAATTTCATTCATTTATAAGAAATTTTTAAAATAAAATGCTGGCAGAAATATTAGAAAAATATGAATTTAAAAATAATAAAATTTCAATAACTTTTATCTATGAGATTGCCGATCAAATTTTGTAATTAAAATAGTTTTAATTCATTAAATTATAATATAAATTTCTGATAAGGTTTATGAAAAAATCATACAATAAAGTAAAACAAAAAAATAATCACTTGAGCCTTTAAAACGTTAGTTATTTATTATATTAAATTCAATCTATATACTAGTAGCTTGCAAAAATTTATTAAATGCTTGTTATTGTTAAATTTGATATAATTTTGTGATTAAATATTTAGATTAAAATTCTTTGTAAATATCATGATTTTAATAGGTGCTTTTTTAACAATCGAAATATTAGCGCAATCATTTGAAACTATTGAAATGGATCCTCTAAACCAATAGATGAAAAAAATTATTCGATTAGAATTCCTAAACTATCCCATAAACTTTGGTTTTACATATGGAATATGGTCCAAGTATAATCCACTTGGAAAAATAAGTTAAATAGGATCTTATGGACTATTTGATGAATATTGCTTTCATTTACACAATGCAATAGAAGAAGAATCATAAAGTTTAAATTTTATTTATTATGATTGTCTTGATAAACAATAAAAAACTATAAAAAAGACAATCTAATTTATAAATGATAAGAATGAACAACTAATATTTTAAATAGATATCAATTCTAATTAGTATGAAAATATTTGGTATTTTATGCAAGTAATTCAATGGCCCCAATTAGATAGATTTGAATTATTAATAAATAAATAATAAGATGAAGAAATTCACAAAATAGTTTAAATGAAAAGGCCATATAGTGACAAAAATTAGATTTTAACATTTGGAAGTAACTTAATTGTAAGTAGTTCAAAAATTTTAAATATTAAAAGTGGAGATATATTTTCATATTTTCCAGGTCCAATACGATTATAAGAATATATTGAAGAGATTTTATCTCCTTTGCTTAATTTTTAAGATATAGCACAAACAAGTTATGAATCTTTAAAAACTTGTGTTTGCTAGCCCAATTAAAAATTTTAAATTGATGATTAAGAATTTTCAGATTTATAATTTAGTTAATATATATCGTAAAATTTGAATTGTGATTTTTTCATTCTATTTGGATGGATTTAAATAAAGAAAATACCAATAGAATCCTAAGATTTTATCTATTAATTCATTAAAATCAGTGCAAACTCAGAGTAATTAATGTTGGAAGATTAAAATCTATCACCTTTTCAGCTATTTTATTATATCTTAGAAAAAGAAAATTACATAAAAATAACAACCTACAGTTACTAATTTCCAGATGTATCATTTGACTTTGTAAAAAACCCATTTCTTATAGAAGATGAAATAAAATTTAGTAATGAGATCACTTCATGGCATTAAATAAAAGTGGAATTATAATTTGATCAATTAAGAATTGATGTAAAATTTTATGAGAACTAAATTTTAGATCATTTTACAAAAATATATGATGTTAAATAGTTTCATAATTATTAATTGAAAGTTTAGTTTGGAAACTTCTTATAGTAATCTAAGAATTAATTAAATATTGTCATTAAGAATTTTTAATTTTATAATTGCTATTAATAATCAGAGTATTAAGAATGTCATTATAGTTGTCTAACTTGTGATGGTCCATCTGATGAAAACTGTTTAGCTTGCTCAGAATCTTCTAAGAGAATCTATTTAAATTAATATAAAGTCTGCATCTGTCCATACCATACAATTGATTTAAATGGAAAATGTTAAAATTATGAAGATTCAAGTTTAATACTTTAAAAAAGTAATAAAATATCTAAGTAAAAATGTTAATAAGGATATTTTGAGTATGATGATGAATGTTATTTATGGTAAAACTTGAAATAATTTTTAGTCCATCAATTGTCAAATAAAATTTGATTACATGTTTTGAATGCTATAATAATCCATCAAATTGGTAGTTTTAATAAATTTGTTACACAATTCTCCATTTGTAAGAATTGGGAAACATAAATGATTCAATGATCCCTTAAGAAACATAAATATTTTATTTTGATGGGGCATACCTTAATTTAAAGCATGATAGCGATGAATTTTAATTTGAAATATATTAAGAGCTTATATTAGTTTCTACTGCATTTAAGCAATTTTGTCAACAATCAGATTTATTGAGTGAGGACTTATTTATGTGCTACCCATGTATATTGAATTATTGTTTAACTTGTTTCATTAGTATAACTAATATAGAGTGTCTATAGTGTGATGATGATTATATTCTTATAAATGGACATTGTAAATTAAAGGAACTTTAGTAAATTGATCGAATTTGTATTCCTCCGGATTATTTAACTTATTCATTTTAATGCAAATAATGCACAATCAAGCACTGTTTATTATGTTTTGAATATTAAAGCTATAATTAAGATTCTTGTTCTTTATATCCTGAATATATAATAACTGAGAATAATTTGGATAATATAAAAATCGGTTGTGCACTTTGCAAAGATAATTACATTTTTGATTTTACAATTAATTTATGCTTACTTTAAAAATCTTAATTAAAAAGTTGTTAACGTTCATTTATCGATTTGGATGGTCAAGAAAGATGTACATTAGCAACAAACGATGATTTTTTTATTTCTCCTGAAATAATTTATTGTTAAAAGTACATTTAAAATTGTTAACAATGTTCGTTTAATATTAATAGTATTATTTAATGTATTATTTGTCAAAATGGATATATTGTAGAAAATAATTAGTGTCTTCCTAATGAAGAAGAGCTTTAACTTCCATAATATCTTATTTAAAAATGGAAAAGCAAAATTCAAAGTTTTATGCTCTAATTTATTTCCACTTTAAATATCGATGCTTATTAAAAATAAATTCTTCCATCAGAAATTGTAAATGAACATTGTAGTTCAGATTGTTTAGTCTGTGGATAAATTTACTGCAAAAAATGTAGCTTAAATTATTACAAACAATCAATCAAGGTTGAAAATTATAATAATTGTGATGATTGTCCCCAGCTTTGTTAAGTTTGTATTTCTCGTACAGAAAAAGAAATTAAAGTATTGATTTTAATATATTAAGTCTTATTCAACGAAATTTTTGGTTACAGGCGAAAATCTACTATATACTAAAAAATGTATTAAACCTTATTTTGATCCTGCGATTTATTTCGATCCATATAATTAAGTAGCTAGGCATTGCTTAAATAGAGATTGTGATGATTCTTTAATATACAGATTTTCGTATTAAAATTGTAATTTCGCACGATTTTAACGCAACTATGAAAAATAAATAAATACGAAGTATTGTAATTCAATTGGAATTTAATCAATTGAATTTTAATTTCAGTTTGATTTAGAATAATATGAATGCCATCTACTTTTTCCTTTAACTTTTTAAACAAAACTCAAAGAATAAATTTTCACTTTATAACATACTCATTTTAAAATATTTTCATCAAAATAGTTTTTTATACATCCTAAATATATAACCTAATTTATTAATTTTGATGAAGTTGAAATCGAAAATTTAAACTTTATTATTCAGAACAATCTTAATTTCATTTTAGACAATGATTTGAATCTAATTAATTTAACATTATCTAATGTTAAAATTTCTTAAAGTGAATTATATAATGTAAATTCTTTATTTGAAACCCAAAACTATAATTTTATTAATTTGAAGAATTTAACAATATCTAACTCCATATTTTAAAATTCTTCAATTCTTAAACTCTTGAATTAAGACTTAAATGGAATAATTACTTTTAGTGGATTATATATCTAAAACTGTACATTTAAAGATTCAACTTTATTTCATATTTCTAAATTACAAAATAACTTATTTCTCTAAAATATTTAAATCGAAAATAGTACACTAGAAAATTCTTCAATTTTTTATTTTGCTACTTAGAAATTAGAGCTTAATTTAATTGATATAAACCAATTATCAATTTAAAGTAATTAATTTAAAGATTCTAATTTAATCTATTCCACCAATCTTGTAGAATTAAGAATAAAAGATTTCTAATTTTAATTTAATAATCTAAGCAACTCAAAAATCATAGAGCTTAATTTTAAAATAACATTATTTAAAATTCTCATTGAAAAAAATTCGTTTGAATCTTCCTAGTTTGTCATCATTATTCAGAAATAGTTTAAGTAAACTATCCCATGTTTAATATAAAACCTTAAAGTGATTGCAAATTTATACTAAACTTCAAACTTATTTCTGATTTTTTCTACTTATTCAACCAACAATCTTGTTGTTCATTTTTTAGACACATAAATTTTTCAAAATTATCAACTATCTAATAAAGATGAGTTTGAATATTTATTTTGGATAAACTGTGATTCATTATTTTTGAAATCCATGACTGTAACTAACAATGATAACTAATTGATTTTATTTTTATCAGAAAACCAAAATATTTCAATTGAAAATCTTTTTTATTCAGGCTTCCCAAATAATTTTAAGATACCATTATCATTAAATAATTTATAAATGAAAAAAAAAAATAAACTATTCACTATTCAAGGTATAAAAGTAATATCAATTATTAATTTAATTATAGAAAATTAGATTAACTTTGAAGAATTTATAATTGAGATCACTTAAAGCTCTTAAATTAAAACAAATTAAATTTGCCAATTAAATATATAAAATGTTAAGATTTAAGGAAATATTTTGCTATTATTACCTTAAATTCATAGATTATCCGTAATAAGTATAGAATCAGAGGTATAAATGTTTCTTTTATTGTAAAATATTTCTTATAGCAACAATATGTTTCATTCTTACGCAAATAATGTATTAAGATCTTCAGCAAGTCTATTATATATTTCTTTATCATCAGGCTCAGTAGAAATTAAAGATTTCATTTGCTATCAAAATGCTTTAACTAATTCTTCAAATACTTTTGTAATTATAAATTCTGAAAAATTACAATTATCTAATTACACTATTCGAAATTTAAATTATCTAACAAAGGAATAATGGTACCAATATTATGACCTTGAATTGATTGACCATCTTAATTAAGAGAAATTGAATTAATTCATTTTTTCTGTTTTAAAAATCAACAATATCGGAGGAGCAGGTAAAGTATAAGCTTCATCATTTTTGTGTATTGATTGTTAAATTGAACGAATACTGGCTAAAGAAGGTTTTGCATTTGATATTACAACCACAGGAGAAGGCCATATCAGTTTATTGAACTTAATAGTTAATGAAGCTGAAAATGATTTTGGAACGAGAGAAAAATATTAAGGATGCATTAATGTATACTCAACTAACAGTAAATTAAATATGACCATAAAAAATGCAAAGTTCTATAATATAAATAATAGAATGGCTTCTTCAATATTTACTGTTGTTCCTTCAAAAGTTTAGAATTATTTATTTATACAAAATGTTAAATTTGAAAATTGTTTTTCTTTATTTAATCAAATAATGAACATTTAGTTTTCTTAATTAATATTTGATTAAAATTTTGTTTTCCTAAGAAATATTAGAATCATTTAAAATTTATAAAGTTGGACCTCTTATTTTTCAAAGATATAGAATTTATAGATTTCAGAGTTAAATGAAATTGTGTCAAATGACAATGCATTAATTTCGATAAGTAGTTGCAGTGTATAGATTAAAGATTTAATAATTTAGGGGGTCTACATGTCACCTATTTTGAGATTTAAAAATGTTCCGTAACTTTCAGTAGAATTATTAAGTATTGATAATATTCAAATATTTTACTAATTTACACTAATCCATATAATTTAAGCTGTGAAAATAAAATCAAAAATAAAATTTTAATAAATAAATATCTAAAATGTGTCCTTATATGAGACTTTGGGATCTGGATCTTAATAAGATTTTCTGAATGAAAATGCTTATTAACTGTAATAAAGCAATTTTGAAGTAGTTTCTTTTTTCAATATTCAAAGCTTTTCAAACTTAAATTCACTCTACTTTGATTAAATTCAATTAATAAATAATAATTGTAAACATTGTATTAATGGTTTGATGTTTTTTGAGGTCGAAGAATTTTAATAAATAAGATTTTCAAATATCAATTGTTTATAGAACTAAATAAAGAAATTTGGTTGCTTATATTTTACAAGAAAAAAGCTTGATTAAGCTAAAATAATTGTTTAAAATTCAAATTTTTTATTTAATAAAGGAACTTAAGGTGTTGCTATTATGTGTTTTAATATTTATTTAAAAATTGCATCGAATAAAATAATATAGAATTCTGCAAGTGAATTTGGAGGTGGTATTTATTATGTTATCAACTCAAGTAATTTTATTTTAAAATAATCAATAATTTTATTAAATAATGCCAAAGGAGGTGGAGGAATTTATTTGCAAGGAGATTGCTTTTTAAACAAAAATAATTTTATTAATACTTAATTATTATTTAATAAAGCAATAGAATCAGGTAATAATCTAATAGAGAATCCATCTCATTTAGCTTTATATATTAATTAATTAGAGATTCCTTCCACTTCTTTAAAAATAAATGGAATTTAGACCAATAATATAAAATTGAAATCATTTAAAATAATTGAACAAGGAATGGCTCGACAATCAGAAAATCTGATAATCCCAAGCAATTAAATAATCGAGGATTTCAAAATATTCGATACAAAATAATTAGAATATAAATTATTTATTAAAAATATCTCGTTGAATTACAAAAATAGTCTAAATGAATAACTAAATTATATTTAAAATTCAACTTGCTAACTTAATTAATCAATTATAACTAGAAATCAAACTTATATTAAAGATTTATAAAATAGTTAAGTTTATACACTTGATAATGGAAGATATTATTTGGATTTATCATCATTATCATTCACTTTAGATCCATTTGAATAAAATTATGAATATTTATAAATAGCAATTTTATGCAAATTTAACTCTTAAGGTAATGGTTTGATGTATAAAATAAACGTAAAAAGCTTAAAATGTTAGTTAGGTGAATTTTATGTGAATGAAGGATGCCAAATTTGCTAATCAGATTAAGGTTTTTATTCTGTCACTTACAATTCTACCAAATGTTCAATTTTCGATAAGATGAAATTTGCATAAATAACCTCTAATATGATAGAATTATTACCTGGATATTGGAGACCTCATTATTTATCAGACTTCACAGAAAAATGTTTTAGGAACACAGCTTTTTGTAAAGGAGGATGGGTTGTTGGAAATGAAATTTGTATTAATGGACATATTGGTGCATTATGTGAAGAATGTGATATTTATGATGTTAGAGGTTTTGGATATTTTTTTAAAAATTAATCAGATTAATAATGTTTAAAATGTACAGGCTTTTGGATTAGTATATTCTCTCTTTTACTTGTGATAATTTGGTAATAAAATACATAAATTTTAGGACTTTTATATCTATTGTTTTATCTTTAAGAAGTATTAATCGATCGAATAAATTATATACTCAACTTAAAGTAGTTAAAAGGTTTAATCAAATATTATTTAAATTAAACTAAGGTAAATTATATTAAAATTTATTTTAGATCATGAGAGCATATTAATTAAAATGATGATAAATTATTTGTGGACTTTTTCAGTGATACTTACATTTAATATCAACTTTTCTTTATCCTTTTAATTTATTGAATAGACTAGTAATAGTTCGTATTCATTAGCAAGTGGTTTAGATTGTCAATTATCAAATATTAGTAAAATTCCTTTACTTTATCTTAAACTAATTACATTGATCACATTTATCATTTCCTAATTTAACGTCGTCTTTATGATATCTTTTATTTATTCTATCAGAGCTAGAAATAAATTTGATTTAAGCATAATCTCCAATACCCTACTTTATTTATATATTGTAAATTATGCTGGCTTAATTAAAATGTATATTAAATAATTATTTTTAGGTTATCTTCAGTTCTTTCAATTCGTATGATATCTAATATCAATTATATTTAAGGGGATGTTACTTAAATTTTTTGGAATCAAGATCATTAAACTTGGATCTATTATTTTGTTTTACCAGGATTAACAATTTTTGGTCTCATTATACCTGTTTTTATTTTCATCTTCTTAATTGTGAATAAAAATAATTTATAAGAAATTAAACTTAGAAAACATATATGCTATATTCTAAATGAATATCATACCAAAAGCTACTTTTGGGAATAAATTAAATAATTTAAGAAAGCTTTAATAATTTTCATTATAACCTATTTTGAAACATAAATCTTACTTAAAGCATCCTTATTAGGTTTATGCTTTTTATTTTATTAATTATTATCAGCCTATCAAAAACCTTTTATAATTCAAAAATTTAATTCTTTGGATTTATAAGCTGGATAAATTTGTTCAATTACTATTTTTTTAGCTGCAATTCAGTATATCTGTGAACAATAATAAATAGAATATGTTTAGATTATAATTTAAACCTCAATTATTGGATTCTTTATAAGACTCGGCTTTCTTTTTCTAAAAAATCTTTTTAGAATATATCATAAAAAATATACAAAACCTATACTAACCAGTTTACACAACTTATTTAAATTTTTTAGCAATAATTGTAAGTTAACAATTTATTTTAATACACTATTAAATTAACAAAAACATAAAGAATAACGGCTTGAAAATTATTTTCTAAAATTAAGAGATTATCTCATGTTTTCAACTAAGAGCTAATAAAGAAATTCTAAGTATTTATAAGATCTATTATCTTATATAGATTATCAATTACAATCACTAGCCCAGGTAGAATTTACCCTGTTAAATCTACTAAGTCTGATTTAGAAAAAAAATATCTTTTTGAAAACTGAAAAAAGGGAAAAATCAAATAATTTCATCAATTATATAAATAAAATTTTTTATATAGTCTAAAATTTTACAAATATTTTCTTATTTATGTTTCATATAAATTTAAATAAGAAAAAATTTTAAGTCTAAATAAAATAAGTAATTCAGAATCTTTTCTGAGATCTCTAAAGCATCAATGGAAATCAAAATTTCTTAAATAAAAATCTTTTTAGTACTTGCAATTATTTGAAATTTTCTAATAAATATTTTAAGAAAAAGAATCGTGACAAATAATTATCTAATATATTTAATTAAATAATCGAAAATTTTATTACCTCTTTATTTTATGAGGTATATTCTAAGAAATAATTAAAAATGATGTTTTTTAAAAGTATTATTCCAAATTACACCATTAATTTTGTATTTAATAAATTTTTAAATGGATGTTGATAAAAAGGTAATAACTCCTCAAGATAATTTTTGAATTCTTAGCTGAATAAATATATCTCTCAAATATATTTAAGTTTTAGATAGAACAAATGGAGATGTTTTAATGGTTTCCCTAAGCATTATAATTTCAGCAAATAATGTCTAGGATCAGTAAACCAAAAAATATTTTTAGAGAAAATTAAGCTTATGTCCTGTACACTATATTATTTAAAAATCTTTGAATATCAAATTTCAACATAGACCAAATCATATAATATCCAATACTAAGTCACTAAATTGAATGAATAAATATCTTTGTAATTTATTCAAAATTTTTAATGATTTGAAAATATTCCAATGATAAATCTACTACTTTAGAATATTAAAAATTATTTCTATCATGTACAGAAAAAAATTAATATTGTGTTAATTGTGATAATTGAAATTCAAAAAAATATATATATTAATTGTTACTTATACTTTGATAAACTACGACTTTATTCTACTACCACCTATATATTTGGATTTTAGAATTTTATCTTTTATAACAATAAATTAAATTATTTTCGAATTGATTAAAATCAGATTTTAAACCTTTAGGAACAAGAGAAATCTGGAAAGCAAAAATTATTTTCCCTACAATAAAAAATATATCTGTAATTATTGATGAAGAATTTCGAAGAATAGAAGGGTTAAGGAAATTTTATAATTAATTATATTTTGATTAAATAATAGTTATATTAATAAAATAAATAATCCAAATGAATTATTAAAGAAGGAGAATAATATTGTTCTATTATTTTTTAAAAAAGATGAACCGCAAAAATAATTACTACTGGCCTTAATAAGGAATTACAAAAAGAATACAAAAATCTTATAGTGACTGAAATTATCTAATATCATAAAACTGAGGATCATCAACAAAACTATTATGATAATTACTAAGATAAAGATGATAGTTGAGTAGTAATATTTAAGACTGAAAATATCATAAAGAAATATAGGACTCAACTCAAACTAGAATTGTAACAACTTAAAATTTAACTATATCTGCTACTATTTTGCATCTATGCATAAATTTCGAGGACTAATCACTAATTTAATATTTAATACAACATTGCCTCATTGAAGAATATATTAGTTTCGTATTTTCACAAATTAGAGGAGCATTTTTAAGTTACATGTCAGCCAAAATTTTTTCATCTGACTATAATTTATGCTTTGGCTTCTTTTTGATTATGAGTTTAAATCAAGTTCATTCTTGTTATTTAATTTATGTAACAGATTAATAATCCAAAAGAATAATCATAATTTCTTAAATTATAATAAAATTCCGCATTTTAATGCAATTGCTAAGTGGAGTCATTAATTCATTTTAACTGATCTAAATTTATTATTGAATTTTTAATCATTCATTTGATAGCTGAATGTTAGAATAAATCAAATAAATAAGGATATTGTATAAAAACTTATAATCTATCATTATGGATTATTATATCATTAATATAATATATCATTATGAATTAGATCATTATTAATATCAACTTGTCAGTATAAATATCAATATTATGTAATAAATTAAAATAGTAAATAAAAAGATTTCATATCCAGAAGCATTAAGAGCTTGGTTTATATAGATTTATCCTCAAATTTCTAGGAAAAAATATTAAAGTTTAATGAACCTGTTGCTTTTATCACTTTATTTGTAAAATATTATAAATTTTCCATTAATTATTAATTTTTTACTTATTATTTTAAACTTAGTAGTTATTAATTAATTGTATATATAGATGAGGATGGTAATTAAGTTAGTGAGGGATAATGTGGATAACATTATCTCATAGATTAGAACTTTCATTAGGAAATGTTAGGCAGCTTCCCAATAATTTGGAGGCAGATTCTGAGATTGAATATCATTATTAACTATTATTATGAGACAATTATAAACTATAGAACAAAGACCATTAAATGATCTAATAAAGAATGTGGCTACTCTTAATCTATTGGTTAAGTATTCTATTGCAGTAATTTAAGATCACAAAAAATAATAGTAAGTTTGGGTAAACACTTATTAGCACATGTGACAAAAAGGTAATATATAAGGAATCTTTTTAAACTATTTATAAGAATTTTACTATTGCAAACAATTATGAGAAGATTTTCTATCTATATTTGTTCTCTAAGAAAAGTGAAAATTTCATTTAAAGTATTTTCTAACATCAGATCAGCTCAAATTATAGTTTTTACACATATGATATGATGTAATAATGCTTATTTAGAAAATGCTAAATAATGTTTAAATTATAGTTGTTAGAATAGATTCTCTTTTTCATACTATTTTTTATATTGCATGTTCAGAAGTTATCCAGAATATTTCGAATCTAATATTAATTTTTAATATTGCAACCATATTGGAGTAGATTAAATGACAATAAATTATATTTTTTAAATTCAAGAACCTTGTGAACAATTAATTATTCCTATTAATTAATTGAAATTATGGAATATCTTAAAGCAAAAAATCTATTCTTTAAAGTAAATTAATATGAGTCTCTTTTCAGTTTATCCATATCTCTTAAAATTAAATTATTTAATAAGCATAGTTAATTATGATACAGTAGAAATCAAAGATATGACATTAACTTTATCTGATGTTTTTATTTTGGAAAATACTAACAATAAAGTTGATATAACATTAAAAAATCTAATTTTTATTCAAACAAACTTTTCTCATAAAACTATTATTCAAACTTAAGTGCACGGAAATATCCTCTTTTATGATGTTAGGATTATTGATTCCAACTTTATTAATTCAACCTTTTTTCAGTTTTAAAAACAATCAATTTCAATATCAATAACAATCAAAAATTAACTCTCTAGAGAATTCAATTTTATTCTAAATAAATAACATTTATACCAATATAACTATTCAAAATATTCTTATTGAAAATTGTTCAATTTTCAATTCTTCATTTTTCTCTTTCTAAACAGATTTGAACTAAAGTCAATTAAATCAAATTAAATGATGTTGGAATTAATTAATGTAATTTTACTCATTCCTATTTTCTAAATAGCAACAATAAGTTTAAAATAATTGCAAAAAATATCTTAATTCTTAATAATTACCTTAAGAATTCAGTGATATTTGTTTTTGATGATGATATTGAATTGATTAGTGTAAAATCAATTTAGAATACACTTATAGAATCTTCAATTTTATCAACATTATTGATTATCAATTAATAAAGGGTTTTTTGCATAATTGATGATTTTGAAGATTATTAAAGTGCTTTATAAGAATCAAGCATGATAACTATTTATTCAAGTCTTCAAATTAATAATTTCATTGTTATTATTAAAAATTTTTAAGTTTAAGAAAATAAACTATTAAATACTTTATATCTGAAAATTTTCCTATTTAAATTACATTGCCATTCATTAGTAATCTAAAATGCGAAATTCTTAAATTTACAAAATATGGCAGTGTTTTATCTTTTTGAAATCAATTAGATTGTATTTGATTCTGTAATATTAGAAAATTATTAATAAGACCATAAAGTTCTTATTTCATAATATTGTATTGATCAAGTCTAATTTAGGAGTTAATTATTGTAAATTACAGCTTTTAGTAATTATCATTGTCAAAAATTAAAGTTATAAATCAATTTAGTATTAATTATTCATTAATTGATATTAATTTTAGTACTTAATTCATTATTGATTCGATAAGATAAGTAATATTAGTGAATGTATAATTTAAAGGGAATATATTATTAAAGAACAAATAATCCAATTAATTATCTTTGATTACTATTTTTTCTCAATATAATTTAAATATTAAACTAATTGATATTTAACTAATCTAAAACATTGTAAATCAATAAATTGATGAACCACTTGACTCATAAACTAATCTATAACATATAAATTCATTAGATAGTTTTGTTTAAATTCATCAATTATATTGTAATCAAAATGCTTTAACTAATTCAACTAATCCATTCATAACTGTTACTGCCACATCACTTGAAATTTCTAATTTAATATTTATGAATTCTAATGTTTTATCGTAAACTTAATGGTAACATTTTTATGATTTTGAATTAGATGATAAATATAATCAACAAGAAATTAATTTAATTATTCAATCAACATTTAAAATATTAAATTAAGGAATTTATGTTGTAGCTTCCACTTTTAGTTGTACAGAAAGTTTTTTTTAAGAAATTATTGCTTTTAAAAGTTCTATTTTCTCAATCAAAACTCAAGGATAAGGAATAATCAAAATTAATAAAATTTAGATCGATTCTGTTTATACAAATTTGTAAGATAGTGGTAGCACAGGTTTTATAAATATAGATTCAACAAACAGTCTTTTATATATTGAGCTAAAATAAATAAAATTTACAAATATCTTTAATAGAATGAGTGCTTCATTATTTACTATTACATCCTCTTTAAAATAAAATATTATTCAAATAAATAATATTGAAATAAAAAATAGCCTTTCCTTTAATGAACACAATTATTTAAGTTAAATTTTCAGCATAAATAATGAAAGAAAACTAAGTAAGTATTAATAATTTATCAATTTATTCAAGTGAAGAAGTGTGGATTAAATTTTTTTCCTATATTGGCCAAATAACATAATCTGAATTAGAAAATATATAGAGGGAAGATAACTTGATGATATATTTTGAAAATTGCAAAATTGAATTAAAAAATCTATGGGTAGAAGGAATAACTATTTCTCCAATTTTAAAATTCTCAAATATATTTAAATTAAAGCTATTAGATTGTAAGATAATATCTATTTAAAAATTACATTCATTTGATCTTATACATCTAACTTAAACCTTAATAATAGAATCAAAAATTTATGTTGAAAAACTGAAGATAATATAAAGTAATAGGATGAAATTCCTATTTTTTAAAATTTCAATTATTAAATTGCAGTTTGCAATATTTGGAGATATACATCAATAACACAATAAATTATTTATTCCAATATAATAAGTTAGTTTTAATCTTCTGATTATCATTCAAATCAGATGATGTATGTACAAAGCATTTCTGACTAAAATTCTCTTATTTTTTAAGATATTGAATTGATTAATAATAATGGAACAGACTTTTCAGATGGAATAATCACATTTGAAGTTGAACAATTTAAGATTTTTAAAATAATTAATTTTTTTTGCTATCAGAATAGTGTGAAATAAAATGGCTGCATTTATTTTTTAATTTAAAGTATTATTAATTAAATTATTAGAATCAGAGATTCGAATTTCATAGAGAATATCGAAATCTTGGAGGTGCAATATTAATTTAAAACGTTAGATTAAAGATGACAAATTGTAAAATAATATCCAATTATGTAAAGCAAATCTGGTGGATTGTTTTTATAATTAAAAAGTACTGATTTTTAAATTAAATCAACAATTGGGGATAAGGAAATTAAATATGTGATTTGGGCATATAGGAGCATTGTGTGAAGAATGTGATATTTATAATATAAGAGGGGGTGGAAAATATTTAAAAATTAAGAAGTTGTATATCTTGTTTTGGTGTTTAGGATAGTATAATCCCATTCATTGGGGCATCGATTTGGTAATTTAATTTAATATTCAGCTCGTTTATATCAATCATTATCGCCTTAAGAAGCATTGATTAGTCTAATCAATTATTCAAAAATTTTAAATTATAATAAAGGTTTAGCAAAATTATTTTTAACCTAGAATAAGGTAAATAAATCATTTATTTTTAGGTCATGAAAGTTTTTTAATTAAAATGTTATTAAACTATTTATGGATCTATTCTGTTATATTTACATTCAATATAAAATTTTAATTTTCATTTACTTTTGTTGATTCAGCAAGAAATACTTCTTACTATTTGTCTAACAATTTAGATTGTTATTTATCAGAAAATCAATCAATAAAATTGATTTATTCTAAAATAATTACGATGCTTGTATTAATGACATTCTAATTCATGCTTATTATAATTATAATTCTCATCTACAATTAATTGGAAAAAAAAAATAAAAATTTAGAGATTATTTCTAATTCTCTACTCTACCTTTACATTTCAAATTATGGTGGTTTGATTAAAATGTAATTTTATGATTTTTATTTTAGGTATTTTTCAATTATCTCAAAAAGAGATATTTCAAGTTAGAGTTACATTCAAGGTGATGTTTCTCTCCTTTTTGGATCTAAAGAACATTTAATTTGGATTTTTTCTTTGTTATTCCAGGAATAGGAGTTTTTAGTTTGATTATTCCTCTTTTTCTTTTTATTGTCATGTACATTAAAAAAGATTAGCATGTAGCATTTAAATTAGAAAACATTTTTGTTATCTAATTAATGAATACAATAATAGAAGTTATTTTTGGGAAGAAATAAAACTCATTAAAAAGACAATTATTATTTTAATTTTAACATATTTTGAGACTTATATTTTACTAAAAGCATCATTGTTGGGATTATGTTTACTTTTTTATTAGCTCCTAGCTTTTAAAAAGAAACCATATATTCTTTCCAATTTTAATAGTATGGATTTATTTTCAGCACAAATTTGCTCAATTACAATTTTTCTTAGTGCTGTTTAATATGTATCAGAGTAAGAACATAATTAATTTTCATCAATATCACTCTCTACTTTTATTGTTCTTTTTTGTCTTAAACTTTGCTATTCATTTATCAAGGGTATATTAGAAGTTTACACTATAAAGTATTCTTTCTTAATCTTAAAATTTTTAAATTTAATTTTGAATAAGATTTGGCCCGATTCAAATTTAACAAAAAAGTTATCCAAACATATACAAAGATCAAGTTAAAGAAATGAGAGATTGAAATTTTTGATTCATAAACTTCAATAATATTTGATAAAAATTTCTAAATCTTAAATTGAAAATCACAGAAAAATTCTAAACCTTCAAAGTTAAATTACTAAATCCTTACAGTCCGAATTAAAATACCTTTTAAACACCGATACCAAATGATTGCTTTTTAAATATTTATGAATCCAATTTTTAGATATAATTTAACATTAAATTTTTTAGCAATTATTTTAATAAACTTTTTATACCTATTTTTATTTATTATACCTATTTTTATTTATTCACTGTTTAGAAAGAAACTATTTATTCCTTAACAATGTTTAATTTCACTTTTGATATTATGATATTTAAATACTTCCGTATTGAGTATTAGATCAACAATCAGAACACCAAATAATTAATACTTTTTATTGTCAAAAGTTAATTTATTATAAATCTTAAGATGTTTATCTAGGTATCAACTACTATTAATATTACTTTGTTTTATGTCAATATAAGCTTTTTAATAAAATTTATAACTGATAACTGAATATTATGCTGTAATAATTTATAACCCATTTAAACAATAATTTTTGTTTCAAAAAAAAAGTAAAATATTAGAATCATAGCATATTAATAATAAATATATCATATAATATCAAAAAAGATAGACTATTATTAATAATAAAAATTTATAAAATTCTGTTTTTAATCTCCAAAGAGATCTTATTGTAGTTCATACGACAAAATTTCAAATTTAATTCAATATTAACTTCTATAAAGTAATGGAGATATTATGAATGTTTAAATAAAAAAAAATCAACTTCGAAGTCAGAAAGAAGTGTGAAAATATTAACTAAAACAAGTAGATTCTATTACTAATTTGATAATCACAATCAAATACCTAATTTAGACTAATTAAATAAATAATGGTTTGATTAATACTTAACTCAAAAAATAGACATCATTAAATAAATAAAAGCTGCATTAATGGGATCTTAATATCTATAACAATATCAATTTTTTTAGGATACGAAATATTATTAATTTTATCAATAAAAATTAAGAATACCATAATGATCATGTGGAGGGTTTAAATATTGGTATCATTAGAAATAAATTTAATCAAAAAGGGTAATAAATTAAACTAAGTATTTCTGAATATTTAGTTCCAATTTAACTTAATATATTATTTTTTAAAATTCAAAACTGAGACTAAAGTTCTATATGAAATAGATTAACTTTAGCAGAATTGCAAATTAACAATATGAAAATTATTTAAGATATAATAGAAAGTCTTCAAATTATATGTCTTAATTGATTTTTATAGGGTTTATATTAGAAATGAATATATTACTTATTTTAATTAGACTAGTTAGAGTTGCCGACTTATTTAATTAAATTTAAAAACTAATGAATTATTTATTATTTGTTTTAGATGATACATTAATCTTGTTTATATGAGAAGTAATACTAAGCAATAATTCAATTATTTTATTATTAGGCCATGAATTAACTTACATCAAGTAAATGTGCATCATAGTATTAATCAAATTAAATTATAATAAATTTAATATATCAATTTTCATTAGCAATAGGCTAAATATTGAATATAGGTGTACCTTTATACCATCCAAGTGCCTATTAATAGTTAAATCTCTCTTTTCATAAATTAAATTCAAGCATTGTTAATCAGTATTCACTTAAAGAAAATTACTCATTTATAACCTATTGCTAATAGCTAATATACTATTAGACTCAATCCTATTATTGATGCTTTTAAATGTATATTATATTAATCTCATAGTATTTCAAAATTAGAATCGTTAGAGTTACTTAATTTTATTTATTCCCAATAATAACTTTCTTTTTCATATTCCTTAAAAAGATAACTTATATGAGGTCTGAATATATGTTTATCAAAATCATTTCTTTTGAAACACATTACTTGAAATAATGAGAAAGGGAGTAAAAAGCCAAAATTATCAATCCAGGAAGAATCAAATATGTAATCTATAGCTTATGTATCTTTGAATTTTAGATCACCTGATATATATTAAAAGTTAGATATTTCTCTATATGAAACTAAAGAACATAACCTAATTATAATTTAATTTATTATATTTTTATTAATCCTGAATAATTATAAATATAAAAACAAAGTAGAGTGTTGGAAATGCTGTTTAATTTAAATTTTGTATTAATAAGAATTAAAATATTTTCAATCCAAATATTATGATAATAAATTGTCACAATATTAATATCAAAATTAAAATAATTTTTGGATAGATTAACTCAAAATTTACTGTTTTAACTATCTAAAGTATTTGATATTGAATAAGATTAATTACTGGCTTAATCAACAAAATGATATTAAAAAGAAAAGCCTATATTAAATTAAAATTTAACTGAAAATATCCATAAATAGTTTAAGAACATTTTTAATAGAATACCCTCAAGATCTACAATAATGAGATAGAATATCTTAATTTAATTTAAAAAAGATATAACTAAAGCTACCTTAAATTTTGTAAAAAAAAAGAATTATCGAAAACATACCCCTAATATTAATGATATCATTTTATTCTGCTATTTCTTATGAATTATATTCGATAATTTATCGTCCACACCAAAACAATAAAAACATTCAGAATTTTATTAATTTTTAAAGAAATATCCATATCTTTAATTTTGTAAATATCACATTCTTATTTAATATTATTAAATTAAAAAACCAATATCTATTTTTTAATATCAAAAAACAACTAATTTTATTGGTAATTTACTTCAATTTATGAATTCCTTTTAACAATATATTTAATTTTAATACAATAATGAATTAACAAGGTTTTTCTGAAATTAATTTAAATTATTTTTAAATATTAATTCCATTCAATTAATCTACTTAACTCTTGCAGATTTTTTAGGAATAGAAAGATAAAACTTCTTTAAAACTTAGCCACTAGGAATCATTCAATAAGTAATTTTAATTTCTTGTTCTATGATTATGTAAGGAAATATCTTTAAAATATTAGTATAATATTTATTTAATTAAATTAATATTTATGTATATTTGAATATTTATTATTAAATAGATTGAAATTATGAAATTACCAAACTACAATATTTGTCCATTTATCAATAACTATAAATGGATTTATACAAAAATACCATAATTTTCATCTTATTGAAAGTCTTAACATAATTATTTATTTAAAATGAATGGTTTATAATATAAGAATAATAATATTTAGATATGTTTCAAACAATTCTGGTGTCTATAAATAATATTATTCTTAATTTTATGTAATTTATAATTTGATTTAATATAGAAGTATATTCAAATTAATTTTATTAGATTACAGATGATTGCAAAGATATTTCAATCAAATTAAATTAATTATCTAATTAATTTGAATTATTAAATGAATAATTCTAAAATATTAGGTATCTTGTCAGCCATCATTATATTAACATTCCTAAATTTCTGTTCATAATATATTTTTTTTGGCTTTTCTCAATTTTTACAAAAAATTTAAAATTTATCTGAAATTTTATTATTGTGAAATACAATTATAAAATCATAAATATATTTTTTCATTTATAAGTTTAGAACTATGAATTCATAGACTTAAGTAGCCTATATTTTTTATTTGAAAAATTTAAAGTAAGTTGAATTATTATCTATAAAAAGTCTAATTTATTATATGATTTTTTAAAATTAATATTAATTACTGTTGTTAATTTAATTTTTGAATTAATAATATTTTTATCAAAGCTAATGAGATTAATCATATTTTATTTCAATTGTTTCAGTCTCTTCATTCATCTTTATTTACTCAGAATAGTACAATATAGAACAAAATTCAAGTCTTGAACTTCAAAATAATTTTAAGATAATAGAACAACTTGATTAGCAGGGAATTTTTAGAATATTCGAACTAATCATATTTATGGAAACAAATAAACTTTGAAAAGAACATAAACAGTTATCAAAAATTACATAAATATATTAAAAATTTAATATTAATATATATAATTAAAATTGATCAATATAATTTTGGATATTAATAATAATATTTATTATGAATATCCAAAATAATGTTTAAAAATTTTAAAAAGCTTGTTATATAAAATGCTACAATTCGTTATCAAGCAAAAGTGAAGATATCTAGAAAAATGGAGAAGTGAAACAATTGATTTAGAGAGTGAAATTTCAAAAACATTTGGAATTACGATAATTATGTCAATAAATGAAATAAAAGTGAAGTCCAAATGTACAACACAGTAATTTATTTGAATAATAGTCAACTCATATAAAATTATAGAAAAACAATTATTTGGTAAATAGAAAGAAAGAAATAAAGTATGATATAAGAAATATGAAATATAGATATGCTAGGCAATATTACATATAATGAATCATTAAAATTTTCAGAAAGTTATAATTTAACAATAATGGAAACTGAATATAATAAATTTAGAATAAGATAGTAAATAAAAAATAAAATAATACTTAAATTCTTTCTTAATAATGTAACTTTTACTATATTTTCTTTAGATTCCTACCTTCCTTGTTGATTTTGTGATTTTAAATAAAAAAAATTCAAATCTTATTTATTTATAAATCAATATTTATATACTAACTATTATTATTTCATTTGGTTGATGTAAAATAAGTATAAGCGAAGAAATTATCGAATCAATATGATTTTGGCAATGAAATGTTATGAAAACTTTTGTTTTAAAAATGCTTTATTTTTTAATTGCCTTTTAAAATATATATATGAAACTTTAAAAAATTCAGAAATAAGCAATATATATTATAAAGGTAAACCTATTGTTAATTTCTTTATTAATTAAATTAAATAAATTGTTGAAAAAAAAAAAAGAAGGATTAAAAAATTCTTATGAATTTATAAGATTCCATAGAAACAGAAGTATTTAGAATTAAACATCAATGGTGTAAGAATTGAAATTTTCAAAATTTTAAAATAATTTTGTATTTTATTGAATTATCATATTGATTAATAAAATAAGATATTTTAAGCAAAATAATATTTAAAAAACATTTTGCTCCTTATTACTCTTTCTCATCAGATTAAGTGTTTTTTGTAATAAAATTTCTTTTTATAATTGTTTTCAATACAATATATAAAATTAATTGATTTTAATAATTTGAATCTTGATTTATGATATTGCTTTTTTTCATGATGATGTTTAATTTCTAAAAGGCATAATACTCCTTGTCAAATACAGTATTGAGTCATTCAAACCCAATTTTGAAATAAATTATTAAAGGTAAAGAATCAGATGTATCAGATAATAAATGCCTAACCTTTGGTATATGGTCAAAATATGATCCATTAAGTGATACATATTTGAAAAACTCACATGATTTATTTGAAAGTAATTGTTTGTAAGTAATGAATGCTTTTGATTCTAATACTCAAAGTCTAAGTTTTATATATTACGATTGCATTGATCCAATTACCAGAGAAATTAAAAAATTTATCTTTGGGTTGGCAGAAAATACTCATTTTATATTTGAATAACCTATTGAACCTTTAGATTATGAAAATAGATGGTATTTTTTATAAATAATTTCAATTTAATCTGAATAGAAATTAGAATTTTTAATTTATTCTTCGTTAAACAACATTTTTAGATAAACTGTAAATCTGATTATGCCAGCAAAAGATTAGTAAATATAATTAACTTTTGGAGGAAGTTTAAAAGTAGATGTTTAAAAAATATCATTTTTTGAATAAGGAAAAATATTTGCACTATTTCCAGGTTCAATTGTTGTTTAAAATTATTAAATGATTAGAATTCCAGCATAATATGATTTTGTGTCATTAATTACTTAAAGTTATAAGTAGATAGGAAAATGTAGTTGTAGAAGTACTGCAAAAATGATTTTTAATGATTTTTATTTAAAAGATCTTGATTAAAAAGTTTAAGTATCAGGATAAATATATTGTAATTCATATACACTTAGTGCATGGTTATAGATATAAAAAATTTATTAATAATCTGAAGAATTTACTTATTAGTTTTTAAAAATAAGTACTAACTTAGACAGATTTTAGAATGAAAATTTAGTCACATTTTAATTGTTTTATCATATTTCCCCAATTTAAAATAAAATACTAATTACAACATATAAATATGATTTTCCAATAGTTACATAAGACTTTGTAAATAATCCATTTCTAATTAAAAGAGAATTTAATATACCAAATAATCTTGCTTCTTGGTAATTTTTATTTGTAAATTTGGAAGAAAATACATTACGTGTTGAGATTATATTTCAAGATGATCAAAATACGTAAACGTATAAATCTTTAATTGATGTTAAATAATTTCATGATTGTTAATTTAAAATAACATATGGAAACATTTAATAATAAAATTTAAATTATATTGATATAATTGTTAGGAATATGAGATTTACAAATTGTATTTAAGATATAAGACTCATAAAATGTCATTAAAGTTGTAAAGAATGTGATGGTCCTAGTAAATATAATTGCTTATCTTGTTCTAATGAATCAAATAGAATATTTATTGCAAAATAAAAACTCTGTGTTTGTCCATATTAAACAGTTGATTTAAATAATGAATGTCTCAATTATAGAGATTAGGATTTATAACTAATTTAAAAATAGTAAATAAATTTAAAATGTTAATAAGGTTTTTTTGAATTAAATGGTGATTGTATTAAATGGTAATTTATAATTTAAATATTTAATAGTCCATCAAGAATCAAAGAAAATATTATTAGTTGCTTTGATTGTTATTAATTTATTCAAACCTGGAAGTCAAGTCCAATATGTTCTTTAGATCTGATGTGTAATGATTCTATATGCGATTTCATTGGAATTGGACAAGAAATAATAAATCTTTTTGATGGTTCCGATTTTATTCTTTATTAGAATTCTTTACTCTATAATTAAGGTAACATTCAAGATGAAAAATTACACTAAAAGTAGTATAATTTGATAATAAACTTCTTCTAGTTTTTTTGTAATATAAAATTAAAAGAATCTAAAGATTTTGATAAGAATTCTTGTTATTAATGTAAAATTAAATCATGTTTGGTTTGTGGTATTAATATTGATAAATTCATTTGTCTTAAATGTGAGGATCGATATACCTTATATAAAGGTTAATGTATTAATTATCACGATGATTTTAATTTTTAGAATTGTACACAACCATATTATGCTTCATTTAGTAGAGTATGTAAATTATGTGAATTGAAAAATTGTCTTTATTGTTTTGAGTATTATAACAATAACAATAATTATTATGGATTTACTATTGAATATACAAATATCTATTTAGGTTTTAAACCTAAATAGATTGGTGTTGCTTGTTTGATGTGTGAATAAGGCTATTAATTTGATTTCATTTTAGGAATTTGTTAAGAAAGAGTTCCAACAATATAAAGTTGTTTAACATCATTAGTTAGTATAAATAGTTAGGAAATATGTTTATCTGCTTTAGATAATTTTTAAGTTTCTAGAGAAATTAATAGTTGTGATTCATATATACCTAATTGTTAATAATGTTATCTGAATTTTTATAAAGAAATAAAATGTATAATATGTAAATCTGATTTTGAATTAGAAACAAATTAATGTTATTAAAACTAAGAATAATTATCATAAAGTTTATTAACTTTCTTAGAATTAAAAATAGATAGTTTCTTATCAAATGTTATAAATAATATTTTCTACTAATATCAATCTGAAACCAAGAATAATTGTGGATATTATTGTAATTCCTGTGTATATTCATTAGGTGAGTATTATTGTGATTAATGTATGGTATTAGATTAATAAAATTAACTATTTTGGTTTTAGTATGGAATGTGTGAAAAATGCTCATAACTTTGTTAAGCTTGTAGGTAACGTGGTTCATTAGAAATTGAGGTAAATATTTATAATAATTATTATAAGTAATTAGCACCATTTCTAAAAACTTCACTATATAATACTAAATATACTACCAAATGCTTTAAACCTAAAATTGATCCTTTAATTCATTATGATCCTTACCATTAAACTGTTAAATATTGTGAGAATCCTGATTGTAATAATGAACTTGTTTATGAAACTATTTAATGGGGTTGCAGTTTTGAAAGATTTCCAAGAGACTTAAATTATTTTGGTATAAGTACTGAATATTTAAATAATATTGGAGCTGATTCTATTACAATTATTATCAATATATAAGTAGAAGATGAAAGTTGTATTCTCTTACCTACTTTAATATCAAGAGCTACTTTAAAATAGTTTGTTTTTACTTTAAAAACTGTTAATTTATAATTTATATCATCATATCCCTTTAAAATGGAAATATATAATCCTTTTCTAATTGATGATTATGATTCTTTCACTATGATTGGTTTAAATCTATTTCTAGTTAATTTTGATGGAATATACTTTGATTTTATTAACAAAATAAATGAAGTCAATATTACATTTATTAATCTCACTATTATAGATAGTTTAATAAATAATGTTTAATCATTATTTACTACTAATCAATTCGGTAATGTAGAATTATAAAACCTTTCTATTATCAATTCCTAAATCACTAATTCTTCACTATTCAACTTTAATTAACGAAGTTTAAATGGTATTATTAATATAGATACAATATATATTTACAATTGCACTTTAATAGATTCAATTTTCTTTGAATTTTCTTCAATTAAATTCACTGTTCAATTCAAAAATGTAACTATACAATAATCCAATCTATCAAATTCATCAATCTTTAATTTTAGAGCTAACACTCCTTTTTAAATTACTATATATCTCATTAACATTCAAATATTTAACACTAATTATACTAATTCTTACTTTTTTTTCTGCTCTTAATTAGTAAGTGTTGTAGCAATAAATATTATCTTTAATAATAACTATTTATAAAATTCAGTCATTCTTGGATTTAGCTCTCATTTAGACTCATCTTATATTGACATAAACAACAATACTTTTATTGAATCATAGTTTATATCAACTATTTAAATTATTAACTAAGATTCAATTATATGTAGTATTAATGAATTACTCATTAAAAATAATATATTTCAAAATTCAAATTTATTTCGATTTTTTTCCAATTTTAAAACTAGTGATTTACTTGTAATTATTTCAAATGTTCATATTTAATTTAATGAAGGAACTATTAATACTGATTAATTTAGTTACTTATTTAACGTTAATAGTCAAAAATTGATCCTTAAAAATTTTGTTATAAAGGATAATTTTCAGACATTTATTCTATATCTATATGATAGTGCTGATATTCAACTTATAAATTATACTTTTCTTAATTCTCAAATTTACGTAAAAGTATCTACATAACCTAATTGCTTATCAAAATTAAATATTTAAAATTAATTGATACAAATAGTAGGTTTTGATAAGATTCTGATTTCTAATTTTAAGATTTATAATATCTAAAGTATAGATTAATCAATCATTAAAATTATGTCCAGTAGTTCATATTACCAAGAATAAGTTGGTTAAATATAATTAATAAATTTGCAGTTTTAAGGAAATCTATTACTTTCTCTTAATTCAATTATTTATTTTTCACTTGTATCAATTATTTCTGATAAGAATTTAGATATTCTAATTCAAGATGTATTATTTTAAAACAATATTATGCATGTCTATAATGAAAACTCATTAAAAGAGACTGCAGCATTATTATATATTGCATCTTTACCAAGTACAATCATAATCGAAAATTTACATTGCAACTAAAATGCGATGACTAATTCATCTAATTCCTTTATTAATATTGCCTCAAAAATTTTAAAAATTAATAATTTATTAGTATTTAATCATAATGTATTACCATTAAATGTTTGGAATACTTATTATAATCTAATTATTGTAAATTAAGAAGATATCAAAATTTTGATTATGTAGATTTTTCATATCAAAACAATTGGAGGTGCTGCATACATATAAGCAACAAATTTTGTATGTAATAATGCAACTATCGAAAATATAATAGCAGCAAAAAGTTCTGTTTTTGATATTCAAACTTCAAATGAAGGAAATATTTTAATATCAAATATCTATGTTAATCATACAATTAATAGTTTTCAGGAAGAAATAGACAGCTCTGGATCAATTAGTGTAGATTCTCAATATAGTTCATTAAAATTTACAATTAACAAGGCATAATTTTTTAATATTGTCAATAGAATGTCTTCAGCCATCTTAACAATAATTCCTTCTTTAATTAGCAATAAATTGATTTTCTAAAATTTGACAATAATTGACTGTGTTTCATTAAAAAACTAAATAGTTAAAATTTTATTCCTTTAATAAACTAATAAATAAAATTCAATATCTATGATTAATTTAATGATTATTTACAATAAAGAAGCTTGGATAAATTTGTTTTCAGATATTGGAGAATTAAAATAAAATGAAATACAAGGAATAACTGGAAATGAAAATGCTTTAATTTATTTAGAAAATTGTGATGTCAATCTGAATAATTTTTATATTGAAGGTATGCTTTTTTCAAGTGTAATCAAACTTTATAATATACATAAATTAGTTATGTTTAATTGTTCTTTTTAAAATATATTGAGTACTTTCACATAGAACCTCATATATGTAGATTTATCAATATAATAGAAATCTTAAGTTTTTATAAAAGCAATAAATTTCTTCAAAGCTTCTATTTATGTGGCTAAGATGGAATAAAATTAAGTTTAATCAATATATAAAATTTTATATTTGATTTCTGGATGTTCTATAATTTAATCTTCTTCCTAAATTTAACAATAAGATTATTTTTATAAAAATTTAATTTATCTTACATAATCAATAGTATAACCTACCTCAATTATATATATAAAGAGCCAGTCAAATTTAACAAATATATTATTTGATAGGGTAAATGTTGAAAACAACAATTATTCTACTTGTTATGATGGAATCATATATTTTGATGAAATTAATTTTCATAGATTAAAAATTTTAAGATTAAATTGTATTAATAATTACATAAAAAACTATGGATGTTTACATTTAATTGGAAATAATAATGCATCATAATAAATTTAAATTTAAAGTTCAAACTTCATTTAAAACAATGGATCTTAAGGAGTAGCATTAACAGGAAAGTAAATTTTAATAAAATTAGATTAATGTAAAATTATTTCAAATATTGCCCTTTCTAAAGGTGGTGGTATATATTTGTAATTAAATAAAAGAAAGTTTTTAATTTTAAATTCTATATTAATGAATAATAAAGCTTAAGAAGGTGGAGGAATTTTCTTTGAAGGAGACAATGATCATATTAAAAAGATATTTCTTCAAACCTTTTTATATTTCAATGAAGCCTAAATTTATGGTAATAATCTAGTGGAACATCCTGATCATTTAACAATTTACATTAACTCAAAAGAAATGTCAGCTATTAATTTAATAAACAATAATAGTTCAACTAGAATTCTTAAAATAAAGGAATAAAAAGTTATAGATTAAGGAAAACCAATTATCTCAAATATACTCATGATTCCAAGCACACAAGTGATAAATTCTTATTAGATATTTATTTTAAAATAGGCTACTTATATAGAATACATAAAGAATATAAATATCTTTTTTAAAAATAGTAAGGGAGAATTGCTCTATAATCTTAATAATTCAACATGTTAAATAGAAGATTTAATAGTAACAAAAGGGAATCAAGAAATATAAGGATCTAATAGTAATTAGATATTAGAATTTTAAACTATTACTAATAACTTTGAATTAGGTACTTTAGCTTTTCGTTTTGATCCATATTCTAATGAATAAAGTCATTTATAAATTTAAATATTTTGTAAAACTTAAGAATCTTAAAATGAATTAAAATATATTATCAATGCAAAAAGTTTTAAATGTCAATTAGGAGAATTTTATATTGAAAGTGGTTGTTAAATTTGCAAATCGAGTTAAGGATTTTATAGTGTAACATATGATGCAAATAAATGTTCTATTTATGATAAAACTAAGTTCTAAAGTATAAATTCAAACATGATAAATTTACGATAGGGATATTGGAGACCTAATAAACTATCAGATTTTACAGAAGAATGTTATAAAAACACTGAATTTTGTTTAGGAGGATGGGGAGTTGGTGATATTACATGTTAATAAGGACATATTGGAGCTCTTTGTGAAATATGCGATATATATAATATAAGGGGAGATGGATAATATTTTAAAAATCCATCTAATGAATATTGTCTCTTATGTTCTGGTAAAGAAAGTAGTATTGTTCCATTTTTATTAGCTTTATTTTAGTAAATAATATTTTTAATACTAGGGTACTGTTATCTATTACTTTAACCTTAAAAAGTATCAATAAATCAAATTTATTATTTAGCTCTCTTAGAATTTTCTAAAGATTTAGCAAAATAGTATTTAAACTTAATTAAGGTAATTCTAAATTTTAAAATTAGATCATGAAGGCATTTTAATTAAAATCTTATTAAATTATTTATGGATTTTTTCATCAATAATTTCTTTTAACATCAAATTTTCAGTTTCAATTTATTTTATTGAACAATCCAGTAACAGTTTTTATTTTATGGTCAATAATTTAGATTGTTATTTATCAGATATTCAAATACATATAATTTATCTTAAGGTGTTTTTCATATTATTATTAATGTTGATATAATTTTATGTCATACTTATTATATCCTTATTGTATCATAAAATATTAAACCTAAAAATGGACAACAGTCTACTCTCAAGCACACTGCTTTATTTATATTTATTTAATTTTGGAGGATTAGTAAAAATGTATAACTATTTTATTTTAATTAGGTTATGTTCATCTCTATCTATTAGATCAATATCAAATATCAATTATATTTAAGGAGATGTATCACTATTATATGATAGATAAGAACATTATTTATGGATTTATATTTTAATCATCCCACTTTTATGTATTTTTGGTTGCTTTATTCCACTTTTCTTATTTTTATTGATGTTTCTAAATAGAAATCAATTAGATAAGATTAAATTCAGAAAACATATCTGTTATTTATTTAATGAATATGATGACAAAAGATATTATTGGGAATAAATTAAATTGATTTAAAAAGCAATTATAATACTTATTACAACTAATTTTGAAAACAATATATTAATAAAGACAGCTTTATTAGGATTAAGCTTAAATTTATATCAAATATTAGCCATTAAGAAAAAACCTTACATCATTTCAAAATTTAATAATTTAGATTTGTAATCAGGATAAATTTGTTTAATTTCTATATTTCTTGCTGCATCTCAATATGAGAGTTAACTTTTATAAAATCATTTTTTCTCAATGTTTCTCTAAATTATATTGATCTTATTATTATTTTAACTTATCTATCCTTTCATTTTAAATATTGCTAGTATTTACTATAAAAAATATATGATTTACTTTTTGAAACTAATTCATACTTTAATAAATAGTCTAAAACTAAACCTTAAATATATTAAAAAATGTAGGATTCTCTTGGATGAAGATATAAAAAGAAAATAATAATTAAAAATCAATATTGCCAAAATTAGATAGCTATTATTGCATAAAAATAAAAATGAAAAATATGAAATTATATCACCAAACATTCAAATTGTAAAATCGTATACAAGAAGACATAACTTAAAAACAGTGTTAAATAGTAAGGGTTCTCTTATAGATATAAACAATTAATTATAATGATAATTATTAAATCATATTGAATATCAAATATTAAGTTAAAATTATAAATTTAATTTATCAATATCCATAATTCTTCTAAATAAATATCTTCAAGTATAAATCTATCCTATAAAAATTATAATAAAATACCAATTTAAACATTAATTAAATTTAGATTTTTAAATAAAAAATTTTAATTAAATTTAGACAAAACAAAAATCAATTAATTTAAGTTAAAAGTTTCATTCATTGTTTATATAAAGAGATATATTTAAAATAAAGAATCTTTTTACATAATATATCTGATAAAGGACTTAAGAGCTTAGACTTCAATATTTTTAGTTATTTGACTACTCAATTATCTATAATAATTTTAATTTATACTTTAAGTAATTGATCAGGTTGAAAAGTTGAAAAGATAAAAAAATTTATTTATTCATAAACTCAATGTTTAGAAATTAATATTTTTGTCATCCTTCTTAGTTTTCTAAGATTCTTTGGCATTTTTGACTAATCTTTAATTTATTGTTAAACAGATTAAATTTTCCTAATTTATTAAATAACATATTTATTTGACAACTAATAAAGTCAAAGGACAAATTTATTTAAAGAATATTTTAATCCTATTATATCAATTTTTGAGAATTTTCTAAATGTACCTATAAATTCATCCTTCTTTATATATAGAATCCCAAAAGTAATTCTAAGAGTATTAAAATATAGAGTTTTCAGATACTATATTCATTATCTGTATCAAGTTGTATTTAATATCTTTACAAGAGTCATAAAAGTATAATAATCTCATTTAGAATCAAATTCATGACTTGGTATATCCAATTGAGATTTATTTCCCCACATCTTTGCTAAAAAGTATCAATATTTTGAATACTTTTAGTATGATTAAATTGTATTTAATTTTATGCACAAGTAAAGCTATTTATTAAAAGTATAGAATTTTGGTATTATCACTATCATAAAAGATTATTAAATCTTAAATATTCTAAAAGTTTTGACTGATATTTTTAGAAATTAAATTTTGATTCTAAGTTTCAACATATGCTTTTTTTAAGCAACTATTTTTGTTTAATTTTACTTTAATTAATGATAATTTTTACATTTTAGTATCCTATATATTGCTTTAAGTTCTAAAAAGCTGTTTTTATTTATTATTACATTTTAACTAAAAAATGTTATCACAGAATATATAATTTAATTTTTACAATAACCTATTCAACATGATAATTTTTAACTAAATTCTGATTTTAATATTATTCGAAGAAAATTAACATTTTTGATATTATGTAAAAAATTTTATTGCATCATATAAAAACAATGTAGTTTTATTTATATAAATATTTAATTTAACAGAAAATAAGCAATATCAATATTTAATCTTAAAGACTCTTATTCAAAATGTCTTTTGATTAATATTTTTGATAATGAAAAAATTGATCAGTGAATAAACTTTTTATATATGTCGCTTTGATAGAGAATTCTATATTTGAATAAAAAATATAAAAGTATAAAAAAGAATTCTCAAATCAATTAAACTATCTTAAAAAATTAATAAAAAAGATGAAACATATAAATCATTTGATTGAAAATTTACATATCATTTGACTAATTCTAATTCGCTAAGATTGACATATATATAAATACTAATTAAAAGAATAAAGAATGTTTATTTTGAGAGTTTTAGCAAACAAATGAAGTAAATGAAAAGTTCAAAAGAATTTGTATTAATAATTAAAAAAATATATGTAATTTCCTGTATTACTATTTTATAATTTTCGTTTATTATATTATACTAATCGCTAGAATGGAAAGATACATTTCATCGAATAGTAATTTTTAATGATTATTTTCAACATATATGTTAAGATTAAATAAAAGGGTTGCAACAAAATGTATTAGGTATTAGATCATCACGATATAAAAGGTTGAGTATCCATAAAATTCATTTATATTAATATTTTTATTGTAATAAATCATAATGGGGAATATATGCAAGCCATAGATTTAGCCAATAAAAGAAAATGAAGATTTTAGTAAAATAGCTTAAGTTGAAGAACAAAGAAAATGGTAGAATAACGAAAAAGAACATAATAATGATTAAAAATAAGAATTAATAGAGGATGATAGAAAACAATATATAAATAAGTAGGATGGATAAATAGTGATTAATGAAAATAAATAAGAAGTACTTTATTATAAAATTTTTTTAGTAAATACAATGTGAAAACAAAATGATAAAATAAGTAGAAGCTGTTTTTGATTAGGAAGTAATTTAAGAAAATATTTAAAAATAAAATAAAAGGAAATCCCCTTTTGATTATTAACTATTATTTAATGTAATAGGTAATAGTTTTATATTTGGTCATTTGGAAGATAAGTAATAAAATTGAATATTATTAAGTTAACAATTATTTGATAAAATGTTTTATTGTATAGCTAGAGATTAGGAGATGATATTTAAATAAGGAGATAAAGGAAGCTTATATTTTATTATTGAAAGGGGTCAATGTGAAATTATAATAAATGATAAAGTAAAAAAGATTTTAAGATTCGGAGAATCATTTGGTGAATTAGCATTATTATACAATGTTCCAAGATCTGCTTCAGTGAAAGCATTAGGAGGTACTAAAATATTAATTTTAGATTGTGCCTTTTGGGCTATGGATAAAAATATATTCAGAAAAGGGATAGAATTAATATCTTTGAAGGATTATGAAGAAAATAAGGAATTTATATAGAAAGTTAAATGTTTTTGTAATAAAATGTAAATAATAGTTTAGAGTCATTTACAGATGATTAGAGAAAAGCAATCACATCAGTTTTGATAAGACTAAATTATTAAGCAGGTATGAAAATTGTGGATGAAGGAGATTAATCAGATCCATTTTTTATTATAAAGAAAGGAGAGGTTGAAATTTAGAAAGGAAAATAATAATTGATAATGATGTAATAAGGAGATTGTTTAGAAGAATATTCATTATAAAATAATTCAGTAAGAGATGTTATAATCAAAGCACATGATGATGTTATTCTATTTGCAATATCAAGATTTGATTTATAAACAATATTGGGAAATAAAATATAATCTATTATTTAATATGGTTAATAAAGATGGGCATTTAAACGTCATCCTATTTTTAAATGGCTTACTAAACTTTAAGAGGAAAACATATTAAGTAAGATGGAATTAAAATAATATAAATAACAAGATGTGATTATAGAAAAAGGATAATAATGTACTCATTTGATTGTTGTTCTAAAAGGAAATATATAATATCAATAATTATTAATACAGAAAGGTTAAATGTTTGGTGATCAATTTTTGGAATAATAAAATTAAATTTTAAGTGATTCTTTGATAATGAAATCAGATGGTTTAATAAGTTAAATATAAATTAAACACTTTTTTTAAATTATTGGAGGTAGTTTAGATTAAATCCAATTTTAAATTTAAAAAGAACATAATAAAAATATCAATAAAGGCTTAGAAGAATTGATATCAATCAAGATTTTAGGTTAAGGATTATATGGTAATATCTATCTAGTTCATAATAAATTTGATAAGAAAAATTATGCTATTAAATGCATATCTAAATTTAAAATAATTCAGGAACGATAGGCATTACGTTTAGCCTAGAAAAAATAAATATTATAGACTATTAATTTCCCACTAATTATTTATTTCTTCAATAGTTTTAAGGATTAATATAACATCTACTTTTTAGAGGAATATATAAAAGGAATGTAGATAAATGATGTTATTAAAGAATTAGGGCATTTAAAAACTTATGATTTTTAATTTTACATAGGATCATTAATTTTATGTATGGAATATTTTCATTTAAATAATATTATTTATAGAAATATTTCACCAGAGCATATTATCGTTGATGATTAAGTAAATAATACATTTATTTTAAGGGATTTATAAAGTTAATTGGCTTAGGAATTTGTAAAAATCTTAAAATTAAGGAAGCTATAACATTTACAATTACAGGAATTCCACATTATATGGCTCCAGAAATATTGGCTGGAGAAGGATATACATATTCAGTTGATTTATGGTCTATAGGAATCATTATGTATGAATTTATATGTGGTAAATTACCCTTTGGAGAAAATCAAAATGATCCGTAAAGATTAATTTAAATCATTTAGATATGCTATATATCTAGAAATCTAAGCTTAGCCCTTAAATTTCCCTTTTAATCTCATAGACCAATATTCTAAAGAATTAATTGAATAACTCTTAAGCAAAATTCCTGAGTAAAGATTAGGATAATCATATGAAAAACTAAAGAACAACTAATTTTTTAAAAATTTTAATTTTGATTTATTAATGAATCGAGATTTAAAACCTCCTTTCATTCCACCTAAAAATAAATTAATTAGTGATAAAGATTTTTAAAAAGCCATAGATGCTGGATAACTCTTTACTGAAGTAATCAAAGTATTAAATAATTATTAATCTGTAGAATGATCCTAAAACTATTAAAAAGATACCTGATTCAATTTATGGTTCTAATTGGGATTAAGACTTATGAATAATAAATTACTCATACACATACATCTTATAATTATTCAATTTCTACACATAAATTGTATTAAATTCATCGAATTAAAAATTCTTAAATAGAGTCTTTCTTACTTTACAATTTATTCAAACTTTGCTGAAATATTATCATTTTTGTCAACTAATTCCTAATCAAATTATAATAAATGTTTATCTTCTTTTTAAATATTTGAGTTATACTTAAGAATATTTCAATATATTACAAGTTTTAGTATTTTAAGATCAGATATTCAATATCTATAGATTTAAAATATTATTATCAATACAAAAGTTATTAGTTCATTTTTAAAGATTGAACCATCTAGAGGTTTTTTGAGAATACTTATCTTCTATCCATTTTTATTTTAAGTTTTTTTTCATTCTTTCAATAAATAATTAATAAAAATTAAATAAATTTTAGGCTAATTTCTATGATTAAATACTTTTTTTTTATTCTTTTTATTTTTTTATATAAGGGAATTAATTCTTGCTTTTCTGCATTTTAAGTTTTCCTTTGGATCTATATTTATTTGTATAAATGTTAAATATTAACACAACATATTATTTTCATTTCATATAGATTTTCTATTTAAATAAATATTGATTACATTTGAAATTCTCAAAACCATCAACCTTTATTAATTAAAAATATATTCAAATAACTCTGTATTACATCCTAAAATGAAACCTCTTAAATTCCTATAAAATTTAAAGTATGATTAAAACATATAATACTTTTCTTTTAATTTATTTGAATCACCTAAATACTTTTTATTTTGTTACTTTAAATTAATAATTTAATTTTAATGACATTATCCAATTATCTCTGAAAATATTCATAAAATTATGTTTATTTAAAAATATCTTTTTAACTTAGAGGGACCTATAGTAAAAAAAGCAAATATATCACTTTTCCCCTACCTTTTCTTTTGATATAATAGTCAGGTTTAATAGTGTTAGTACAATGTAAGGACTGTTTAAAATAAATTTATCATTCTTATTTTTATAAAAGTTTATAAATTTGTTCTAAAATACTTTTATCATTATTTTTTGTAAATAGGAAACGATAAGGGATAATAGTTGGTATTAAGTAGTAATTTTACTTTATAGGATGTCATTATTTTTTTTTCATTCTTTGAAATTCATTACCCTAAATTTAACTTTAAACAAATTATATCTTATAAAAAAGAATAATGTCAGGATATATATATTCTAATGATCTTTGAACACTGTTAAAATTTTGACAAGGATTTTGATTGTAAGGTAAATGATTATATAATAATAACAATTTCTGTTCTAATTTTAGAAGATATTATTTTTATTCTGATAAAAATTTTCTTTAGTAAAAATAATTTACTTTCTATTACTAATAAATTCTTTGATTTCTAAATAATTATTAATCTGAATTACAGTGTTAAATAGCAATTTATTAACTTATAAATAGATAAAATGGTAATCATTCTTGTATATATAATATGATAAATAAGGAGATCAAATAAAGACTTAAAACTATCTAACTAATATAATACATTTTAACAGTTAATATTAATATATTAATACATTAACACTCTCTTAGTAACGTCTAATTCAAATTCACATTATAATTATCATTAGATTTGAATAGAATCAATCATTATAGATTGTTTTAAAAATGAATTCTTCTTAATAATTAAATTAATTTATTATTTATCAAAATTTCAAGATTCTCTTTGAAATACGCACTAATCTAGAATTTATACATAAGTGAATATGATGGTTTTAGATATTACTAACGAATGATAAATAGATCTCTGTTTTTTTATAAATTTAAAACTTTATTTTCTATAAAATATTTCATTATTTTGCTACTTTTTTTAAGTAAAATCTCTTCCATTTTTTTTTCGATTATAATTGTCAATTAAGATCTAATTTTCTGAAAAAAATAATTTTTTTTGGGATTCTAATATTTCAATTAATTTATTGTAAATAAGGATAGAATTTAAATGATAAATTTAATAAAATCACTCTTCTAAAAATAGTCTTAACAATAGATTGAAGAACAGAAATAATTATCACCTAATTCTTATAAACACTTTAATTATAAGACTATTAATAAGAATATAATTAAATAAAAATCTGACTGTTTAGCAATTGCAATAAACATAGATAATTCATTGTTATTAGTAAGCCATGAATCAAGAATTAAAGTTTATAGGTTAAAAAATGAATAATTAAAATAAGTATAACTAATCATAAATTGCTGCAAGAGAGTAACAGCAATCAAGTTCTTTAATAAATATTCATAATCATATATTTCTTCATCTAAGGATTCTAACATCATTATTAGTTCAAGCTATTTATGTGCTAATCCAAAATATATTTAGAAATTATAAGGAAATTCACAAGGAATGACCAATTTCATAATAAATATAGAAGAAGATGTCATAGTTTCATGTAGTTTAGATTCAATTATTAGATTTTGGAATAGAAATACTTCATCAAATATTTCTTCTTGGATATGTTCATAAACAATTTAAGATCATAGTAGTTATGTTGAAGGATTATCAATCAATGATTAATCAAATACTGTTATTACATGTGGTTTTGATTCTTGCATTTTAATTATTTAGCGTAAAAATTCACAATTTAAATGGTTATTAACTCAAAAGATTCATTTTCATGCTTTTAGTCATTAAATAATTTTCATCAACGATAATACATTTGCTTTTCAAGATCTTAGTTTATCAAAATTATAGATTTACTAAAATATCAATGAAAACAATTAATCACCTAACTATATTAAAATTTAAGAAGTAGTTTTGGAAGGTATTAATAATGGAAATAAAAGTTATTTCTCATCAATTTTTAATCATAAAAAATAAGTACTTGTCTATAAGCATGGAAACACAATAAATTTTTTGAGAGTAATAATAAAAAAAAAGACGAAATAAAAGAGAGATCTATTATTTAGATTAGAACAGGCAATTGATTATGGATAGTTATTCTTTGGATTTATAGTTGGTACCTTAAGTGAAGATGGATAATATTTCATCACTTGGGATGAGTTATCCTAACAAATTTAATTAAAGAAATATATGGAATTATGATTATGAGTTTTACAATTATATATTTATTTATTTAAAATTTAAAAAGGTATAAATAAAGAGTATTTTTACTGAATGTATAATTTTGTTTAATTCTTAATAAAATAGAATTCTCTATTTAGATAATTTTTTAGAATTGCCATGCATTTGTCTAATTAATAAAATTATATTCAAATTATTAAAAGGAACTTTATTTGATTTCTATATTAAATTTCGATGAAAATGTATTTTGGTAACAATAATTTGAGTTTTATAATTTAAATTTATGATATAATAATTCTATAAGTATTGTAACAATGAGTCTACTAAGGGCATAGACGAAACAGCCGATTTTTTATAGGGGTGAAATATTTATAAAATCTATAAATTTATATAAAATATTTTATTACTTTAAGAAGGTTTTAAATTTATAGAGCAGGATTAATTCTGGTTGATGAGATATGATCTATATATTCTGCTTTAATTTAAAATGTATAGACAATTACTATTTAAAATTGAAAACTTCATTATTTAATGAAAATTACGAAAACTAGGAGAGATAACAATATTTTTTGGTAGTTAAATAGCTGATTTAATTAATGTTATTCAGGTATGTCAGATTACATCAAGAAGTTTTATAAGAATATAAATAACTAAGATACATTTACTTCATAAGAAATCAGACTTAACTGATTTCACAATGATCTAATGTTAAACATAGCTAAATTAATATCATAAATGTAAAACAGAGCGTTTCATTAAAATTCATAGCCATGTCGATACAAAAAAAAGAAATTAGATATTCTCTTACTTTTTATGTATTTAAATTCAAAAAAATCTAAATTAATTATAACAATTAATCTACAAACAAGCGTTGCATCAAATTCCTTTCGCTCTTTTTGACTAAAATTAGTAACTACTCAATTATTTTGGAATTAAAAACATTTTCAGATATAGACATGAAGAATATTAAACATTTGAATAATTATAAATTTATATTGCAATAACCTTATCAACTTAAATATATATATGAATTATATTATATAAACCAGAGTAAATTTCTTTGAACTTCTTAAAGTATGAAAGTTCAATCAATTATGATAGAGATATTTTGATATTTTATTTTAAGATCAACCAGTAAGAGAAATGATATTCATATAGTAGCTAATGATCATATGATATATGAAAGAGCTAATAATATTCAAGAAAAATACAGTTTGATAACTAAAGATTCAATAAATTCTCAAAAACCTATAAATAGATATTATAGTTTTATTCATATTACCAGTACTCAAATTAGATGTGGCAATATTCAGTAAGAATATTTATAGAACTTGAAATCTAAAGATTAAATAATATATCTGATGTTTTGTTGTTACACTATTAACTTATGTTTCAAATTTAAACTTATCAAAAAGTATAATTATAAAATTTAGTCGGTTGATTAAAATTTTGATCCAAAATACCTGAAGGATATTAGTAAATTTTAATAAAGACCATTTGATATTGAAAAAATTCTATTTTTTTATTTTTAAATGGGTTTTAAACTTTCAATATATCTTTAAAAAAGAATAAGAAGCAATTTTGAACATCTATTTTGACATATTCATAATAATTTATTTTTTATTTTATTTTGACATTGATAATCACAAATATGACATATTTGGATGATAATAAAATTTGGTGAAACATATTACTTTTTAATTATGATTTGACAATATCAAATATAAAATACCGATCTTATTTAAGATTAAAAATTTCAAATTTCGTTTTATATAATTCTAAAAATATATGATTTTGCGATTTTGTTTTCTAATTTTAATATTGGTAAAACCTATTGATTGCTAAAAAGTGTTAGAATTTTCTTCATTTACAGATGAGAGTTTCACAGATTTAGATGGTATTAATATCTGTTATATTAGGATGGAATTTAATAGTAGTTGAATAATAAGGATCTGGGATTGATAAACCTCCTTCAAATACTTAAAGTTATGCTGGATTTAATTCAATATATTGGGATAGGTCTAGCGATGTATTTATTGCATTTGGACATAATTATCCAAGATAAGGAATAATCAAATATTACAATAATCTCAAGTCTCATAAAGCATTGTTAATTACATTTTAAATTTACATGTACGATAAAAAATTATAGGTAATAGATTTAATAATTCAAATTGGCCAGCTGGAAATTGTAATGTTGAATTATTTATTGATGGATAAAAACAATATATAGCAATGCCTAATTTTAATACATCTTAAAAAAGTATTAAATAACATGTTGAATTGTCTATGACTCATACTGCTAAATCAATATTCATTTAATTTTCTGGTATTCTTACAGATGCAAATGTATATGAATAATTTAATAAATTAGAAAGTTTCTTTAGGTATTAGGGATTTTTATTTATATTCGATTCCATGTCCTATGAATTGTTTATTTTGCAGAAAAACAGATAAATTGGAAGATGAATGTATAGATTGGTAACTTGCTTCTGAATTTTTAGTAGAAATAGACAGAAATTTATATAATAGTGATGGTTGGACAATTAATTAAGCTAATCCAAAAATAAATTTACATAAATCAACTGATTGTAATAGTGAAAGTAAGAAATTAAAAATACTAGGTTCAATTTATCTGTAATTTATTGGATTCATGGAAATGGGTGATTCTATTAAAAAAACAATTATTTTAGAGCCTCATTTTAGATTAAAAATATAATACTTGTAAATACTAATTTCATAAGAATTTGCCCCATCAATATATTGGTATGCATATTTAAATGGTAAGATATAATATTAAGTGGGATATATGACTTATATATTATCTCCTCCTGTTTGTTCTAAGCTTTTAGATAAAACTAGAGGAGATCTGATTTAATAGGTTGAATATGAATCTTTTCATTAAGATACTTTAGTTGAGTTTGCAACATCAGCAAGTTAATCAATTTAGGGATCAAAAACTAGATGGGGTATTCGAAACTTTTAAATCTTAATTAAAAAATGTCATCCAAATTGTTAATATTCTTGTTTTGGACCATTAGAGACTTAATGTTAAAATACTAAGTATCCTAAATTTATTATACATGAAAATAATCTTAATTTGGATACATTTAGCGATGATTAAGAATGGTAAGTTTTGACTCTATTTTAATTTACAAATATAAATTAATGTAACAATTAAGCCTTACTTGGTGGACATAATAATTTATAAGGTAGACATTTCATTTAAAGCGTATATGATTTGAAACCTCATGTTAAGATAGGTTTATCATTTAAAGTCTACTTTATTGATAAATTTTATGATGAACAATTTTATGTAATTGTAGATGGAACTATTGTATATCAATATACAATACCTTCAATAGTTGATTCTAAAAAAGATATGCCATATTGTGGTATTTATGCTGAAATTGATTAAATCATGAAAATCAGTATTGTTACCATTCCTCATACTAGATCTTAAGTCATCATTTAAATTTAAACAAATCAACCAGATACTTCAATATGTAATATATTAATATTTAATACTCAAAGCTTCTTGGGGAATTAGAGAATTTATATTAACTCTTAATGGAATTCCAAACATTAAAAATCTCAATGACTTAAACTTCTCTAATCAAAACATTTCTCCTTGGAAAATAGCTTTATAAAATTCTCCTATTTGGTTATGTGGATCTAAATCTTATATTGGAGGAATTAATGCATTAGATAAGGATTCATAATTGAGAAAAACATTTAAAAATATACCTATTCATCTACAGATTAGAATAAGTTTCTCTATTGTGACTATTCAATCAGCACTTAGATAGACTTAATTCATTTTATAGTAAAATATTAATGATTCTAAAAAAGTGGATTATCTGTAAATTTAAGATTTAAAATATTGTGGAGGTATTGAATATACTCATCTCTTTAAATTTGATTATGTTTTAGATCATAAAGAGGATGATATATTTATACTACTTTATATTGAATAAATGAATGCATAAGAATTTTGGAGTTTTAGAGATTTCTCATTGTCATATAATAATGAAAAAACACAATCATGAGATTTTATTATTTTTATTATTTTATTAAAAAATAGTACTCTATATAAATTTAATGACTTATTATAAATTCCTAATCTCATTCAAACCCTGTAATCAATTTGAGAATTATATTCAAATAACTATTATCTTAATCTATTCTAGAAAAATGATATGAATAATTGGTTTTTTAAATTACAAATAATTAATTAATATTAATCAAATTTACTTTTATAGATAGTAAATATTATTTAACTATTCAATTATAT